GGTCCGCGCCTTCCCGAGACTGGAGTTGGATTTCCTTTTTGGAATCCTACACTTCCACCTCAGTTAGGATTGTCCGTTGTTGCAGGAGTTCCTGTTATCCAGTTTTCAGTTCTGTCTCAGGGGTAATTTTTCCACGAGTAGTTGTAAATTGGCTGTGCCTGCGGAAGGAGGTGAGTTCAGAGTCTGCCTATGCCGCCATCTTGATTTCCTCCAAAATGTGTGTTTTAAAACTAAATTTAAAGTGAGACAAGAACTAAAACAGACTATAATCAGACAAAGACTACATGTTGGAAACAGTGGTCTGGGTAGATCTAGTTGCTGAGTTGAGGACCGAGAACAACTGATACTGCGACGCTGAGACATATGTTCTGCTCACCCACAGCACTCTCAGCCAGAAGCGCTCTCAGCCCAACAGGTAAAGACAAGGCTCATGACTCTTTAATGCACCCCACAGCTGAGCCGGGGCCTTCCAAAGTTGCATCCCAAGCCAGCAAACATTCCTTCAGTTTGATTCTTGGAATATGTTCAATTCTACCTTAGTTTTTCTTTAACCTATTTAATGGTCCTTGCATTATCTTTTACTTCCTTCAAGGTTAAATTTGCATGTGAAAGGCAATCAAAACATGTTGTTGAATGAGTTTATTCCATCTTATCTCCTTGAAGTTCCTGTGGTGTTTGGTCATTACACTGTTTGTTTTCACACACACACACCCACACACACACACACACACACACACAGCCTTTATCACCTTGATTCCTCTTTGAGGTTGCAATACTTCTTGGTGGTCCTGAGTTGCTTGGTTATTCGCTCCTTGCACTGTAATTGGTGGCAGAGGACTTGGGTGACAGGAATGAGATGATCTGCAGGACTTGTTCTTGGACTGGGCTGTGAGGGTGAGAGTGTGGTGATGAGGGCAAGCGGAGGAGTTGAGAATGACTCTCGGGTGTCTGGGTTCTGCCTTTGTGACTGAGTGGATGTTAGTCCAAGAGAAGACCAAATTGGGGGTAGTGGTGGTTAGGAATAAGGATTGGGCTGGGCCTGGAAAGCTCTGGGGCAACTATAGCTATCTATAATTCCTAAATTCCCAGGAAGCCTTGAATTTCATAACAGACAGTCCCTCCCAATGCTAAAATGGAATTCTGGAGGCAGCAGATGGTTCACTTCACATATCAACAGGGCATGGTGACCCTAGTCCTCCATTCATATCCTGGCATTCCTCAAGCATTTTGCATCATTAATTGGCTATTCATCACCCAGAGACTAAAGTCAGACAAAACACATCACTGGAACCTTCCATGCCCACACCACCCTGGAAATACAGAGCTCACCCACAACTCTCTGAAGTTCTCTAAAAATATGCCCTTCATAGCAATGATAAGTTTCTATCTTGAAGCACCATTGAAGTCTCCCAGAACCCCAGTCAAGTTGAGCCTAATGAGTCGCCTTAGCCCTTCAACAGAACACAGTTCTTTAGAATAGATGCTGTTATTCAAGGCTGCCAGGAGAACGTGGGTTAGACTTTATCATATTTCAGCCTTCCTTTTTCTAACTTCCAAGTTGACTTTGTTCCTTCTGTTTACAAAACAATTGATGTAGCTTTCCTTTACCAAACTGTAACCATTTTCTGGTCCTGCCTTGCTAATGTTACACCTAGGCCCCCTTGGCTGATATTTCCCGTGTTCCTAAACTCTTCAGCCACACCTTTCTAATTTTGTGGTTTACTCCCACAGACAGCTGGTCACATCCATTCTGGATAGATTTATATTCTTTCAGAGAAGAATAATATTTCTCTTTTGGGGGAGCTTATTGTAATACTTATTATAATGGGAATGGATTGGAGGTACGGACTGGACGTAGGCTGGCAGGGCTAGCCTCTCACTCAAGTCACTCTAGAGTGTGTTGTGGTTTTCTTTTGGTCCACATGAGGAAGCCCAGAGCTCACTCCACTTAGAGGACATGGGGATATGTCCACCAAGTCCTGCAGCCTTCACTGGCTGACACCACACTTCCTGCCAACCGTCCAATCAAAATGGGATCTGCCTGTTGACCTTATGGATGATAATTGTCCTTCCTTTGCTCTTGTCCTTGCTCTTCTATTCCTGCTTCTAACTATTTTTGGTTTCCTTGGCTTTATCTCCCATTTCTGGCCCTGAAAATCCATCTTCTGTTTTGATCTTTTGTTCTTTTCCTTTTCTGGGTCTTCCCATCCCTGGCTCCACTGGGCCTTCTCCCACCCACTGAATCCCTGGACCTCCACCACCCTCTGCCTCCTGCCCCTGCTGGGCTTCTCCTATCCTCTACAGTTTGAATAAACAAGTTTTGCCTATATCACAGTTTTGGTGAGGGGACCTGTGTGAACACTGAAAATCAAAGGCTCACAGGTTCATTTATTCTTTAACCAACCATTGATTGAGGACAGTGTGTGTGGCAGACACTGTAGATACGAGGTTAAATAACACATATTTTCCACCTTTAAGGAGCTCAGTTATTAGTAGAGGAATCCCGAAATTTGCAAATACTAAGACAGTGTTTTTTAAAACACGAAGGCATTCAGGAAAAATGTAATGCATCTCTTTTTCTTGTCTCCATATGGAGCATATGGTGGTGGACTCCACTGCACAGATTCAAGCCACTGTCGACTTTGACACTGTATTTCTGAATTTTGATTTTTCTATGGTCACCACTGGGCAGTTGCTCTCCACAGTATTTGACACTGGTGACCAGCCCGTTACTGAAATTCTTTCCTCTCCTGCTGTCTCCTCAGTAGTTCTTCCACTGAACATTCTGGGTGCTCTTTGGAAGTTCGTTTTCCTTTGTTCACACCTACAATATTGGAGTTTCCTAGGTTCCATTGTTAACCATTCTCTCTTCTCTACACACTTCCCTGGGCAGGCTAGACCGACTTTTCCGTGGATTTCCCCACAAAGCCTACTCTCTTACATGAAACACTCTGCCCTATCCTTTTTACTGGGTTGATGTCTCCACCATCAGCTTTTCCCCACCGCGTCTGGTAAGGCCCCCTCGGGCAGGCTCGCGTAGCTTCCTTTACTTGCCCATCCCAGTACCCAGGACACTGCCTGCCCGTCCTCCCACCAGCCTATGCATTCTGGGGGCAGGCACCACGCCTGGGTTGCCCATCTCTATCCCCGGTGCCAGCCCTCCATCTAACCCTGAGCAGGTGTCCAGTAACCGAACGTTGAGTAAACGAACGAATGAGTAAAACCTTGTCACAAAAAAGGGCCGGCGTGGCTACACCAGGGGGCTAGAAGCCGGGCAACACGCCTCAGGGCTGGCGGATTCTGCAGGGTGAGAGTGGACCCCGCGGGGCACAGCTCGGAGGGCCTGGGCTGGGCGGGCTCAAGAGCAGGGGCGGGAGCGAGTCCGCCGGTGTCTGGTCCCGGAGCAGGGGGGTTGAAGCCGGCTGGGAAGGAAGGCGCCCAGCTAGAGCCGCCGGCTACGGCCAGTCGCCCCCGCGAGACAAGGCCGCAGAAACTGAGGCGGCTCCCCGCCCGGCCCTTTCACCTGCGCCGTAGCAGAACTACGGCCGACCACGGCCTCCGCCGCGAAGTCGCCCCGCGCATCCCTCTTGGCCCCTTCCGGCCACCATTGCTCTCTATATCGCCGCGCCCGTGACCCGGAAGAGCATTCTCCTTAGCAACTGAGGGACCGCGGCGCCGCCGGCCTCCCGGGAGCAACGGTGAGGCCTCCCTGCCCCCGTCCCGCGCGCCCCACCTTGACCCCTTCTCAGGACCGACCCCGGGGCTGGCCTGCGGGGGCTCCGCGGAGCTTCGCGTGGCACCTGCGGCGGCGGCCGCGGACGAGCGCCCTCCGCTTCTGGCGTCGCACCTGCCCACCTCACGCCGCCCGCTCCCCGCAGACCCGGCCTCCCAGGCCCGGCGTCTCGTGCCGCGGCCCCGCCGCCCCTGTCTTGGAGCCCAGCGTGGTGCGCCAGGAGGAAAACCAGAATTAAACAGAGCCAGTTGCTGTAAAGAGGACGCTTCCTGAGGCTTGGGTCACCTGTGGGCGCGTTCTCCTGGGTCCTGATACCAATGTGTGGGACTGGCAGGGGTGGGGCGCCTCAGGAGCCTGAACAGCAGCCTCTTAACTGTGATACTTGATGTTTGCCTGCTGCTTTGCGCTTTCCAAAGTGATATACTTTACCTGCTTTGTTGGTCGTGAGAGTCATTTAATTCAACACTTTGATCCTTTTCCGGGGAAGTAGCTTTCCAGTTTTCAGTGATGTGCGGGTAGTAGTCTGTAGTTTTAGATTTTGCGTCTTCCAAATTCTACAGAGGAACTCTCCCTGGGACTGAACAGGTTTGGGAAAAATTTCAAGTGAAATTTACTACGTTGGAGAAAGTAGGGGTAGGTGTTGCTAATATCTCTGGTTTACATTTGAAAACAGATTCAGCACAATCTCTGTCAAAATCCCAGCTGGTTTTTTTTTCCAGAAATTGACAAACTAAAATTTATATGGAAATACAAGAGGCTGAAAACCTTTCTTAGCTGAGTTTGAAGGGGTGGCACTAAGACAACTCTAAGCCTTATTTGAACATTGTTGGGTAACGACTTTAATCAATTCAATGATGATGGAGCTAAAACTGAGGCATATGAAGAATTTTCGGGAATGACATTTGGGAATAAAATGCAGGAGTTTATATATCAAAATCCATTGTTTAAAACAGTATAATTTCATTTCAATTCAATAAGTATTTATTAAGCACCTGCAGTGTTATATGCACCTGAAAGGATATATAAGAAATAAGAGACTGCACACATTAAACTGTTAGAAAACTATAAAATAGTATTTGTTTAAATGCAAAATCAGAGGGAGGAGAGATCAGTATGGGCTGGAGTTTTCAGGAATATGTTTATGGATTATATCTCTAAAGTATAGACACTATTTGTCTCTTGATTTGTTTCTAAAGTCTAAATAAAACTTGTGTTTGTATTGGAGGGGACAGGGAATCCTAAATAGTTTCTTTCTTTATATTCTTAAGGGTTTGGGAGAAAGTCCCATGTGACATTTTGTAGTCTTTATTTAAAGCTTTAAAGTCATTTGATTGCACTGCTTCTTTCACTCTTAGTTCAAATATGTCTGGCATTTTTCATGTTTGAGATCTAAAATAATGAGGCTACTAGCAGGGGACTTTGCTACATAGAGATTCTTTCCTTTGCTTCTGGAGTTGGTCTTACTTTCATATGAGACAGCACAGTTAGTTACTGTTTCATACATACTTAAGAGTCTTGTGAAATGTTGCTCTTTGTTCATTTCACAGATATTTCCAGAGTGCTTCCTATGTAGCAGGTGCTGTATCAGGAAATACCAAAATAACAGTTACTCAGCAGCTAGTAGCTCTGCTTTATCTATGGGGTGTGTGTGTGTTTAACTTATCAGTCTTTGGTGCTCAGCATTTGCCTAGAGACATAGAAGGGCCACAGAAATTTATACAGGCATCTGAATTGACTTTTTTTTTCTTTTAAGAGTTGAATAGGGATTTTAGGCTCAATTGCTTTGGACATCCTCCAAAGATTCATTTGTGAAGATGCACAAACTCTTAAGAAGACCTCTTATGATGTTTTATTGCTTTCTTTTAGGTTTAGTGCCCGTTTATTCACTTATTCAACAAGTATTTGAGTGCTTATTTGTACTAGGCACTGTGGTTGGCGTTGGAAATGGGGAGGAGTGAATGCATGCTTGGTCCCTGTCCCCAGCAGGTGATATCAAATAATCACATGAATGTAAAACTGCAACTGCGACTCTATTTGAGTTAGGGAAGTCACAGAAGTGACATTTGAACCGATATCTGAAAGATGTACAGGAAAAGAGGAGTGTTCCGGTCAGAGCAAACAGCAAGAGCAAAACCCTTGTGATGGCAGGGATCATGGAGAGGACTGAGGACTTAAGGTGCAGCTCTGTGTATGGAGCAGGGAGAGTAGAGAAGCATCTGGGAGGAGAGGGGCTGGAGAGGTGTGCCAGGGGGTGCTGGGCCTTCTAAGCAGGTTGGGGAGTTTTTCTTTATCCTTGGAGTAAAGAGAAGCCTCTGTATGGTTTTATTTAGAGATTTAGGCTGGATGGCAAGTGGGGAATGACACAAATAGATTGTGTTTGAATAGCCTGCTTTGTATTTCTGCCGTGGCTTAGTATTTGTATTGTCTTCTCTCATTTTCTCAGCGTGCTCTCTCAGCTTTATTGTGGTTGGGGAAGCCTCTGTGTCACACCAGCAGGATGTGTCCACATATTTTTTTTAAATTGGGAGAAAAGGAATTTTAGGGATTAGGATTGACTCTAGAAGTTCGTTGATTTGAAATATTTTTGCATCAGTATGACTGCTAGGGCACTAACTTCTGTGACACTTTTTAGTTGTGGTTAAAAAAACCACATAATATAAAATTTACCCTCTTACCCGTTTTTAAGTGTGCAGTTCAGTGGTGTTAACTATATTTACATTGTTGTGTAACAGACCTCTAGGACGTTTTTTTTTGTGAGGAAGATCAGCCCTGAGCTAACATCCATGCTAATCCTCCTCTTTTTTGCTGAGGAAGACTGGCTCTGAGCTAACATCTATTGCCAATCCTCCTCTTTTCCCCCAAAGCCCCAGTAGATAGTTGTGTGTCGTAGTTGCACATCCTTCTAGTTGCTGCATGTGGGACGCGGCCTCAGCATGGCCGGACAAGCGGTGCGTCGGTGCGCGCCCGGGATCCGAACCCTGGCTGGCAGTAGCGAAGCGCTCTCACCTAACCGCTAAGCCACGGGGCCGGCCCTCTCTAGGACTTTTTAATCTTGCAAAAGTAAACTCTGTACCCATTGAGCAACTCCCTATTTCTCCTTCCTCCCGGCTCCTGGCATCCACCCTTCTACTTTCTGTTTCCATGATTTTCATTGCTCTAGGTATCTCATATAAGTGAAATACAAGATGTGTCCATTTTTACCTTCACGTTCCTTCCCTGGAATATTCTTCCTTCTCCCATCAGTCAGTTCAAATCCTACCAATTCTTTTAGGCCCAGTTCCTCTCCTTTGTCTTTCAATTTAGATTAATCCACCCAGAGTGGAAGAGGCCTTACAAATCATCCTATCCAACCCTCTCTTGTTGTAGGTGAGAAAATAGAGGCCTGTAGAAGTTTCAGTGATTTGCCCGAGGACAGACATCTACTGAATTGGGGCAGACTTGGGACTAGAGCTCTGGTCTTGCAACTGCTGGGTGCCTTTTCTGCTTAGGCCTGCTTACATGTTGTGATTTAATGCTCTTATTCTTTAACTAGACTAGAATTGCCACTGAGGCACAGAAACTGATTTCCATATCCCTATAGCATTATGCTGAGGCATGGTAGATGCGTAGGAAATATGTGTTAATTAATTGTCTTCAGGACTTTCATTGCCTAGAAGGTGGCCCTACATAACATTTTGAACTTCATTGATTTCGGATCCTTGATTATATTAATCAAATTTACATTGGTCCTTTTGGAGTTGAATAGTTCTTGCACTTTTGCTATCAGAGTTGAGCTTTTCTTGCCTTTTCCTAACGCTCTCTTTGTTGCATGTATTTGTCCATGGCACATATTGGGTTCTTCTGCAGATTTTGATGAAAATCTAATGAAAAAGCCATCAGAAATGAAAACCTAATGCATTAAACTTTTTAGGTTAGCTGATTTATTTTGAGGCAAAGGTTTATGCTTATTTGTGAGTTTTATTGCTGCTAAATGTTGAAAGAATTGTATTTATACTTCATTTTATAGTGCTTATCTCAGAATGCCTATGGACCAGTTGCTTTTGGACACTAGGCTGGAAATGATTTTGAGAGGGCTCAATAGTTTAAGGGAAAAACATTGTAACAAAGCATTTTCTTGTAGGAAGGAAGATTTGTAAACTTTTATTTGCAGTTTCCCCTTTTATCCCAGACTTTGTTTTCCTGTAATGTAGGACCAGCCTTATAGAATCCGGTTTTTAGAATGTCCTTTTATTTTAACCTCCAAATTTTTTTTGTTTTTTATGGGGGGTTGCTGTGGGAAATAAAGTTCATTTTCATTCAGATACTACTGAGCACATGTACAAATCAAACTGTGGGCCTGGAATGGGTCCGAGTTCCCTCTCAAGTCCAGCTGTCTATGCCATTATTGGTGATGTCAGGGAAACTTGGCCAGAATTCTTGTTGTCTTTATTAGACTGAGGATGGTGGCGGAACTGCACAAGATGCTCCTTTGTGTCATGTAACAGGAGACAGAACGATCTGACAACAAAGACTTTTCAGATAGCATTTTATTTGGAACCACAGCAAGAACTTGATGCCCCAGAGTTGCAATTATGTGATTAACTCTCATGTTGAGGCTAGAATTGGTCAGTTTAGTCAACTGTAAGTCCAAAAAAACTACCTTTTTTCCACATTTTTTTTTATTTTGGTAAAATACACATAACGTAAAATTTGCCATCTTAACCATTTTTAAGTGTATAGTTCAGTGGTATTAAATACATTCATAATGTGCAACCATCACCACCATCCACATCCATAACTATTTTTCATTTTGTAAAACTGAAATGCTACCCCTTATACAACAACTTCCCATTCTTCCCTCTCCCCAGCCTCTGGCAGTCACCATTCCACTTTCTGTCTCTATGATTTCTGTCGCTATGACTACTCTGAGTACCTTATATAAGTGAAATCATGCAGTATTTGTCTTTTTGTGACTGGCTTATTTCA